GTTTTTTTTTTGTTTTTTTTTTCCCAGTTTTATTTCATTATATATATGAAAAAAAAACAAATTATTCTCCAAATTAATATAAGTTACTACTCAGGATATAATGAACGAATACATTAAGTAATTTTACCAATAGTTAGATAATAAAGTTTTATTAAATTTACTATTCTTTAAAATTTTAAATTTATTTGTATATTAATTTTAGCCATGATTATGTTTTTATCATTTCGTATTTTGATTTCTTCCTTAATGAAATTCGTTTCAAATATATTTCCATTCCATAGTATGTTAAATAAATTATAAAGTCTTATAATGCAATTTAGAATAATCTCTCTATTAAGAAGAGATTTAGTTTTTGACAATTTTAAATAAAATGTGTTTAATTATTACAAAATAAATTAAATTATAAAAAAACACATGTGTATATTTTGTAAACTAATAATACACAATGTTTTATTTTCAATTTAATTAGACAGTTTGAAGTAATTACAATCTAAAATAATATTAATGAACAATAAATATTTTTATTACAAAAAAAAAAGAATAATAAGATTTCTTCTATAACTTTTGTAAAGAATAATGACATTATATGACAACAATTTTTGTAATAAAATAACAATTGAGTATCAGACGAGGAAAACGAATAAGTAAAATTTTTAGTTTTTCTTATATTATGGAATAAATATATATACAAAACTCAAATTTATATTAGTATAAATGTGTTAACGGGATAATTCATTAATAAATTCACTGGCTAGCACTAACCGACTCAGGTTTAATGTCCCGATTAAAATACATCACTGAATAAATGATTCAACTCTATTATCTTTTAGGTCTTAACGAACAAATCCTATAAAAATGACTCATTTAATATCTTTATCTCATGTATTGCACGTGCTACGTACTAGTTTTGTTAAAAAGAATAAAGCATCAACCGATGTATACGAATTTGTTTCGAAACACAATGGTGCGAGAAATATATGTTATTCACATCAAATAATGGTGCCGTGTTCGAAACAAGCCTTTCCGGAGACGTTGATTATTTTTACATTTTCGCCCCTATTTACTCTTATTTTTCTCGACTTCTTTAAATGTATACGAATTTGCTCCGAAACGCGATGGTTTGAGAAATATATGTTATTCACATCAAATAATGGTGTCGTGTTCGAAAACATGCCTTTTCGGAGACGTTGATTATTTTTTCGTTTTTGCCCCTATTTACTTTTATTTTCCTCGACTTCTTTAAATGTATACGAATTAGCTTCGAAATGCGATGGTGCGAGAAATATACATTATTCACATCAAATAATGGTGTCGTGTTCGAAAACAAGCCTTTCCAAAAACGTTGATTATATTTTTGTTTTCGCCCCTATATACTCTTATTTTCCTCGACTTCTTTAAATGTATACGAATTTTCTTCGAAACGTGATGGTGCGAGAAATATATGTTATTCACATCAAATAATGGTGTCATGTTAAAAAATAAGCCTTTCGAGAGACGTTCATTATTTTTTTGTTTTTGCCCCTATTTATTCTTATTTTGCTCGACTTCTTTGAATGTATACAATTTTGTTACGAAACACGATGGTGCGAGAAATATATGTTATTCACATCAAATAATGGTGTCGTGTTCGAAAACAAGCCTTTCCGGAGACGTTGATTATTTTTTTTTTTTTTCCCCTATTTACTCTTAATTTATTCGACTTCTTTAAATGTATACGATTTGGTTTCGAAACACGATGGTGCGAGAAATATATGTTATTCACATCAAAAAATGGTGCCGTGTTCGAAAACAAGCTTTTTCGGAGACGTTGATTATTTTTTTTATTTTTGCCCCTATTTACTCCTTTTCCTCGACTTCTTTGAATGTATACAAATTTGCTTCGAAAACGTGATGGTGCGAGAAATATATGCTATTAACATCAAACTAGTATTCGACCTGTGCATTTGCACATATATAAATTAAGTATTGTGAGTTATTTTTATGCATATTATAATGATTAATAATTTTTGTTGCATTTTTTTGCAGGCTAAATTTACAATTAAAAGAATTGGAGTATTTATTTTTTTTAAATTGTGTTTATCCTATTGGATGTAATGTATATTTTGGTATGTATATTTTGTGAATTATTTATTATTTATTTAGAAATTTCAAATACGTTTTTTTATTTTCCAAAAGAAGTTAATTTAAATGTAACCACAACAATAACATCTAATCACGTTAAATAGTCAACACATTATATGGTCAGCTATAAGTAAATCAAAAGTTTAAAATCATTTTTGTAATTTTGAAGTGATTAGTGTGTTGATTATCTAATAATTAAATGAGAGGATAAATAAACAAAAAAGTAACGGTTTTTGGAGGGAAAAAGTTATATTGCCACATAGGTATAATTTAATAGGTTTATTAAATGCTCATGAGCCAGCAATTATATATATATAGATAATGGTGTCGTGTTCGAAAACAAGCCTTTCCGGAGACGTTGATTATTTTTTCGC